GATGCCTTATTTCTGCTTCTAGAGGGTCATGAGATTAGTAATGAGTTCGGCAACTCGTATCAATTTCAGATATATTCCACAAATGAGAGAGCAAACAGGTACCACCGAACATGCGATATACACTGTGCACAAAGTAAACCGATTGAACTGCGACACAAACGCAAGCATAAAACGGTTTTATCCGTAGTATCACACTTTGTTGTTGTTATGCCTATCTCTGGCTGCAGAAGATCCAGACTGATCATATAATATATTACATGCACGTGTAATTTGTTCACACACACATCAATATAGTAACCACACATGCGTCTAATGGTATCCCTAACACCCACTACTGAACAACCCCAAACAGCCCCGAATCCCATACCCTCGACCCCGCCTGTCGTGATTGCCCTCCTCCTCAAAATCTGGACCATTTCTGCCCTCGGGGGGACCTCTGCCTCGACTGTCTCTAATATTATCTCTGGCATTATCTCTACCATTCTCTCTCATATTATCTCGGCTGTTGGGGGGTTGCCTGTTATGGACCATTGGCGGGGGGTAGTCCCGACCTCCAGCGCTGTCATAGAACTCATCGGGCGGTGGGCCGTCGTGGACTGTAGGCAGACGTATGTGGGTAGGCATAGGTAGGTATATATTTAAAAATAGCTTTTTTGAAGAGCAAGATGGGTATATACGTAGCTCAAAGTATGTATGTACACACATATGAATGCAATTGTATAGGGTTACAAATATACAGGTCCGTACTCGTATATATATGAATAGGATACAAACTCAGTAAATAATCCGGACAGTCTATTGACCCACATGGTATGAACACATAATTACAAATATACATGTCGATCATTATCATACAATTACATCGATACGAATTCCATAACTACATAGATATCATTATCATATAATTACATAGATACGAATTCGTCAAACAACACAGACATTATGTAGACCATATCAACACCACACACACCACATAAACCATATCACTTGGGACCTAATGAGATAATAGCCCACGATTCGAGTGAATCGAGATGGGTATGAGTGGCAAGCTCATAAGTACATTTACGAAATGCCAACCACGTACACATCCAAACATACATACATACGTACAAATATACATGAATACACAAACACACACAACACACACACACACACATATATATATATATATATATATATACATATACACCGAACACATTGATACTACATACAATGATCATATCCTCTGGGTGGACCTCTTGGCCCACCTCCTCTGGGTGGACCTCCCCATGAGGTACCTCTGCCCCGTTGGCCTGGGTGACCTCGTTGGTGGGGAAACCCATCTCCATCAAACCGGTCGTCCCAATCTGGTCCAGGCCCCCGAAAACCCCCACGGAACCCTCCTATACGAACGCAAAAAGTGATGTGTTTGTTTAGATAAAGACTCTAGGTACGGATGTACATGCAGAGAGGAATGGGGTCGTTCGTGGGAGATGGGCATACTAATGTGTATGGTAATGTTTAGGGTAATGTGTAGTGTGTAGGGTAATATGTAGGGTATGAGTGCATGCACACACACACACACGCAGTGTGTAAAGTCAAAGAGAGAAAGTAAAACGTTTGATAGTTTGGGAATGGAAGAAAAAATATACATCCACTCACTAAACGAAGACCATGACATGTGTACGATTTATAGTATTAATGGTATGTCATGTATAGTTATACACATATGCAGCATGTAAGGCCTGTGAATATCTTTTGTACTGCATTCACATAGACCTACACACACACACCATAGACACCATAGACACACACCACAGACAACCCGAACCTAAACACATCACGTTTGTTCGGACAGCGTGCTTGGTCTGTGATCATCTCGTGATATGCCTAAATATATACCTACACCAAAAACATGAATACCTTTCGTCAGAGCCTGCATGGCCGCTACCACATCCTTCCACTGATACTATAATCGGCTGGTCCAGATGGATCGACATTGAGACGAGGTATAATTATACAATGTGATGTGGCATATATTTACGTAACAAAACACTAGAAGACTACGATGTATATTCAGGAGTACATGTTTTATAAGTTTACTACTTGATACATATGCATATACGCACACATATATATACATATACATTAATATATATATATATATATATATATATATATATATATATATATATATATATTATTATATATATATATATATATATTATATATATATATATATATATATATATATATATAGACCAGACGTATATGGAACGGTACATACCGCGTCCCCTGTCTTCCCCCCCGTCCTCTACCACGACCCCTAATCATGGGATTAAAGGGCCTGGGTCCATCGAAAGGCGGTGCACCCACACCTCTACGATGAGGTCCCAGTTTCTCAACGCCAGGTTGATTGCGTTTTGAGACGGCTAGCAGTTGGTTTGTCTATAAATAGAAAGGGTTGGGTGGTCTATAAATAGACTGGTACGGAAGGGGTGAGGCCGAAAATCAAAGTAAAGTAAATTCACAAGTGTGCGTGTTTACTGGGGCGGTGTTTAGTTGTAATAGGCGAGCGTGTGATACGCTGTATACACAAACTAAGCCAAAATATTCAAATATGGCGAATCCATATTATAGACGAACATGTACTAAGATTGTTGTATTTGGCTTTAGAGGCGGCAAATGTAGTAGTCGGATGATATTGTGACGTGTATCAATCCCACCGTAGATTATATGATGCATTATATATCTGTCCTGAAGTATGATATATGCTATAATTATAAATATATATACATATATACATATATACATACATATATTTATATACATATATATATATATATATATTATTATTGTATTATACCGTGTTGTATTACACACACACAC